TTACTTAAGTTTGAACACGTTTTAAAAGCAGTAAATTTTTACTTCCTCTTGCATGTTTTATGTATGTGATGTCATTTTCATCTTTTTATTTTGTGTATCTCTTGACTAAATTTGTAGATACAATTTTTATTACTTTTGTGATTTAACCTCAATACTGGCATTATAAGTCATTAATCTACTACCTTTACCATATGTTCACTTTTACCAGTGGGAAGTTTTTCCTTTCATAATTTTCTTACAGATAGTTATCGCCTTTACTTTTCACTTAAATCCCTTTAGCATCTTGTAAGGCTGGTATAGTGGTAATGAACTCCTTTAACTTTTTTTTGTCTGGGAAAGTCTTTATCTCTTCTTTAGTTCTGAATGATATCCTTCCTGGATAGAGTATTCTTGGTTGTAGCTTTTTTCCTTTCATCACTTTGAATATATCCTTGCCACTTTCTTCTAGCCTACACAGTTTCTGCTGAAAAATCAGCTGGTTACCTTTTGGGGTTTCCCTTTTATGTAACTTTTCTCTTGCTGTTTTTAAGATTCTCTATCATTAATTTTTGCCATTTTAATTACTATATGTCTTGGTGTGAGCCTTCTTGGTTTCATCTTATTTGGTGCTTACCGTGCTTCCTGAACCTTACCTAGATTAGGGAAGTTTTTAGCTACTATTTCTTCAAATAAGTTTTCTCCCCCCACTTTCTCTTTCTGGGATCCCTATAATGCAAATGTTATTATGGTTGATGTCACAGAGGTCCCTTAATCTTTTCTAATTTTTATTTATTTTTTCTTTCTGCTGTTCATCTTGGTTGCTTTCCATTACTCTATCTTCAGGATTGTTGATCCATTCATCTTTCTGCATCATCTAATTGGCTGTTCATTCCTTCTAGTGTATTTTTCATTTCAGTTATCAAATTCTTCAGTTCTGACTGGTTCTTTTTAATATTTCTATCTCTTTGTTGAAGTTTTACTGAATTCCACTCTTTCCTCAAGTGCAGCAAGTATCTTTATGACCATTACTTTGAATTCTTGAGCAGTCATATAGCCCATCTGTATTTCATTTAGCTCTTTTACTGTGATTTTGGCTAGTTCTTTTATTTGGGACATATTCCTCTGTCATTTTGTCTGACTCTCTTTGTTTGTTTCCATGTATTAGGCAGGTCAATTACATCTCCTGGTGTTGAAAGAAGTGGCCTTGTGTAGAAAGCATACTGTGGTGCCAGGTAGTGCAATCTTCCCTGGTCACTAGAATTAGGTGTGCCAAGGGTGTCCTTCATGTGGGCTACATGCTCCTTCCTGTTGTGGTTGAGTTGTGATTGCTGTAGGCATGCTGATAAGTGGGGCTGGCCTTCAGTGCTATGACTGCCACAGCCTGCCTCGCCTGCTGCTGGGGCACTGGGCAGGGTTTGCTCTCTATGCTGTGAGAGGCCCAGTTGTAGCTACCATCAGATTGCTCATGGGCTTGGCCATCCTGGCCCTCTGCAGTTAGCCACTGTGACATCTACAGGCACATTCAAGGGCAGGGCTTGTTCCCTGTGCAGACAGCTAAGAGGCCTGGCAGCAGGAACTGTGGGTGTGCTGGTGTGCTGGTGTGCAGGGTTATCTCTCTGCTCTCCCCAGAGCATGAGTCACTTTGCAGGAGCACCTTATCAGGCAGTCGGGCTAAGTGGTGTGGATCTGCAAGGGAATGTTGGGGTGGACCTCACAGTTCTAACAAGGTAGATAAAAAGGGTTAGAACTGGCTTCTGTAAGCTTTCTGGCTATCTAGGTTGAGAGAAGGCAGGAAAAATGATGCCTTGTAAGCACTTTTGTTCCTGGAGAAATCTGCAGATCCCTGCCTTCCACCTCCGACATATGTCCTAAAATTAGTCAATAAATCTTCACGGATACCCATGGCACCTTTCAAACTGCTACATCTGTGCTATTTCTCTGGCCATGATATTTAGTATGCTGGCTCTTTAAGAATAGGGACTCAGTTTCCTGTTGCCCTCTGATTCTTCAGGAGGTAAGCCTGATAATTTTTAAAGCTTCCAGAGTCAAGCCTCACTCATTTTCAAAGCCAGATGTTATGGGGACTCGTCTTTCCAGTGTGGGTCCCCAGGGCCAGGGGTGTCTGGTGTGGGGTTCAATCCTCTTGGTTCCTGACTACATCTTCACTTCTCCCTCCCTTCTTGATGTGGTCTTCATTCTGTGTTTTTAGCTGTGGGAGATCTGTGCTACCAGTCTTCAGGTTGCTTTCAGAATTAATAATTGTTGCCTTGGTGTGTGCATGGGATGAGGTGAGTTCAGGATCCTCCTCCTCTGTCATCCTCCTATATTTGTACATGTTTATTTATAGTTTCTAAATGTTCTATAGTTAAACATTACTTTTGTATCAAGAAAATTAGTATTTAAATTGTATCAAGAAAAATAGTATTTTCATTAAAAGATATGGAAATTTTCTATATATATAGAACATTCTTCTAAATCACTAGTAATACTAGAAGAACAAATTTAAGCTAGACTTTATTAGAATTTTTTTTTTTTGCCTTTAGAGGAAGAAAAACTTTTTTAAGATTTTGTTTATTTGAGGGAGAGTGAGCGAGCAAGAGAGAGAGAGAGAAGGAGCAGAGGGAGGGGCAGAGGGAGAAGCAGACCCCCTGCTGAGCAGGGAGCCCAACATGGGACTCGATCCCCAGGACTCCAGGATCATGACCTGACACTTAACCGACTGGGCCACCCAGGTGCCCCAAGGAAGAAAAACTTCTGAAATGATAATGGTAATGATAATGATTTTGTGAAATTTCCTCTTTATATACTAGTAGTGGGAAACCCTTAAAAATATTCACAAAGTTTGACCCAACAATTCCAGGACATAATTGTTTTCTAAGGAAACATCTAGAAACATCTAAATTCCCAACAATAAAGAAAACTTAATTCAATTATAAAACATTCATAGAATGGAATATGAATCAATCTTTGGAATTTATATTTTCATAGAAAAACACACATAGCATTAAATTTAAGAGTTGGGTATAGAATCCTATAATGTAGGATACCAATATGCAAAATAAGGAAATAAAAGTTAAAAAATAGATAGTATATCTGTTTTTTTTTCTGGGTAGTAAAAGCTTTTTATTTTCTTCTTTAAATATATTATCCACATTTTCTGTATTTACTACTTTTTTCATCAGAAAAAAGAATAATAATGCTTGAGGATTCATTAAAATTTTTTGTTTTGTTTTCTGATTTCACCAGCCCTAAAGAGGCCAGAGTCTGCTGTTTAACCAACATGTATACACAAAAACACAATTACTACTAAAGTTTCTCATTACAGCAATGAATGAATTAAAAAGTCCAAAGGATCCCATAATCCTTCTCCTTAGAAATAGTTACTCTTAAGATCTGAGTTTGTTGTATATTGCTTAAGATTTTTTTATGCAGAAAATAGTATGGAGATTATTCAAAAAAAATTAAAAATAGAGCTACCATATGATTCAGCAATCCCATTTCTGGGTATTTATCAAAAGGAATTGAAATCAGGATCTCAAAGAGACACACTTGCTCTCTCATGTTTATTGCAGCATTATTCACGGTAACCAAGATATGGAAACAAACTAAATGTCCATCTGTGGATGAATAGATAAAGAAAATTGGTATATACATACCATGAAATATTATTCAGTCTTAAAAAGGAAATCCTGCCACTTGTGACAATATGGATGGACGGATCTAGAAGACATTATGCTAAGTGATATAAACCAGACACAAAGGGACAAATACTGTATGATTTCCCTTATATGTGGAATCAAAAATAGTCAAACTCATAGAAGTAGGGAGTAGAATCATGGTTTCCAGGAGCTGTGGGGAGAGAAAAATGGGGAGGAGATTGTGAAGGATCCAAAGTTTCAGGTTTTTTTAATAACTGTAAGTTCTGGAGATTCACTAAACAGCATAGTGCCTATAGCTAACAATGTTGTATTGTGTGCTTAAAATTTTCCACAAGGGTAGATCTTATATTGTGTTCTTACTATAAAAAAGAATGGATGAATGAAAGAATGAATGGATGAAATAGGAAATTTTGGGAGGTGATGAATCTGTCTATGGCCTTGATGGTGTATATTGAATATGCACAGCTTGTATGTATGTACGTATGTAAATCATGCCTCAATAAAGGGGTTCAGAGTTTTTTTTAAATTTTAGAAGATTAACAATAAAAAATTATTTAAAAAAAATTAGAAGATTTTGCTGTGCATATACTGATATACATGTGTGCATATTTATTATTATCTTGATTAGCATGTCAGAGTAATATTCTGAAGCTTACTTTTCCCACTAATTATGAGATAGAGTGAATTGAATCTAATGTTTGACTCAAAAAATAGAGAAAATTTTGATAGAATTTTCCAAAATGGAGAATTTTCAGTCTCTTTTTGTGGTCATGTTCACTCCTTAAAACATAGTAGAGATAAGTTCAACAACTGGCTAGGTTTCTGGAGTGGATGATCTTCTAAAGTAGAGAAACATAAATCTCGGAAAAAAACCTATTCTTCAGAAACCTTCATGACACTCCATTACATCTTCCTGAAGTGGCACAAAACTTACTGGTAATGTGAGGAAACGATTCTCTTCCAGCCCCTGCTTTCTGTTATTTTTACTTCATTTTCTGTGTTAAGTTTCTTCTTCTTCTTAATAATTTGAAAACATTTTTCCTTTTTGATTTAGTATTTTATAGGAACTATAGCATATATTAAGTAAATTAAATCTTAGAGACGAATGTTAATATGTAGAGAAAGTCAGTTGATAATTTTATCAGAAAACCAGGAAGCAGTTTATGATAGCAGTTTGGTAGTTTTTTCCCTTTATATGTTCTACATTTCTGATTCATCAGAGCTATGGGAACTGTAACAAGCATTGCAGTGAAGGATGAGCTACATTTTTCCCACTGCTGAAGGAAATTAATTAGGAGCAATAAATAATAATATGAAAGTAATCTGTTCTGGTGGTAGCTTTATCTCTTCTCCTTCTTCTAGGTTTAAAGACCTGCTTACTGATCTGGAAAACAGACAGAAAGAGCTGGGCATTGGTAGCTTTGGTGTCTCAATCACTACCATGGAAGAAGTTTTCCTTAGGTGAGTAATGATGTTTTGGTGGGGGGGCAGGAGAGAGGAAAAATCTTTTCCTCTATAATCAGATTTCTTCTTGAAATCAAACCCCATCCTGTATGGGGCTGGAGTAGTTGAAGAAATAGTATTAGATTGTTAGGTATGATAATCTTCTATGAATGCCAAAAGACCAGTGTATATCCCTTGCTCCTCTGATGGGCTGAGGCTGCTATGAGCCATGGGACTTGGGTGAGAACAGCAGTTCAGTGAGCTAGGGAGACAGGATCTTCCCTGCAAATCATGAGGCTATGGAACTATGGATAACAACTAAACCCATGTACTAAATACCTAGGGTAGAGTATTATGTGGGAAGGTTATTTATGAAACTTTCGGGTTTGTGTTTGAGTGCCAGTGCCTTTTGGGAGTAGGGGGTTAGGATTGGCCTAGAACAAAGAGAATTTATGTGGTCACAGCAGAAGTCCAGTATCTAAATTGGAGGTCTTACTGAGGATGACTTTAAAATCTTGAATCTAATCATGTCTCTGTAACCTACTTAAATTGTCCATGGTTTATGGTCTGAGATTACCTTGCACTGTGTGAAAACTCAAAGAGAAGGTGCCCAGGGATTTCAGGATACTGCTAAGAAAAGGCTGACTGGTTAGCAGTCAAAAGACCTCACAAAAAGTCTTTTCTGGATTTTCTAGACTTCATTTTCTCAGGCTTAGAAACAATCTTGTCAGTCTCACTGCTTCATGGAGTAGTGACTAAGGGAAGTATTTTGCAATACAGGCCTACCTCAAGAAGTAAGAAAAGTCTCAAATACACAACACAACCTAACTTACACCTAAAAGAGCTAGAAAAGGAACAGCAAATGAAGCCTAAAGCCAGAAGAAAAAGGAAAATAATAAAGAATAGAGGAGAAATAAATGATATAGAAGCAACAACAACAACAAAAGCACCAGTAGAACAGATCAATAAAACTAAGAGCTGGTTCTTTGAAAGAATTAATAACATTGATAAACCCCTAGCCAGACTTATCAAAAAGAAAAGAGAAAGAACCCAAATAAATAAAAACATGAATGAAGGAGGAGAGATCACAACCAATACCACAGAAGTACAATTATAAGAGAATGTTATGAAAAATTATATGTTAACAAGCTGGGCAATCTGGAAGAAATGGGTAAATTCCTAGAAACCTACAAACTACCAAAACTGAAACAGGAAGAAATAGAAATTTGAACAGACCCATAAACAGCAAAGAAATTGAATCAGTATAATAAAAAATCTCCTAACAAACCAAAGTCCAGGGCCAGATGGTTTCCCAGGGGAATTCTACCAGACATTTAAAGAAGAGTTAATACCTATTCTCAAACTGTTCCAAAAAATAGAAATGGAAGGAAAACTTCCAAACTCATTCTATGAGGCCAGCATTACTTTGATTCCAAAACCAGACAAAGACCCCACTAGAAAGGAGGATTATAGGCCAGTGTCCCTGATGAACATGTATGCAAAAATTATCAATATACTAGCAAATCAAATTTAACAGTACATTAAAAGAATTATTCACCTTAATCAGGTGGGATTTATTCCTGGACTGCAAGGGTGGTTCAATATTCACAAATCAACATGATACACTACATTAATAAGAGAAAGAATAAGAACCATATGATCCTCTCAATAGATGCTGAAAAAGCATTTGACAAAGTACAGTATTCATTCTTGATAAAAACCCTCAACAAAGTAGGGATAGATGGAACATACCACAACATCAAGGCCATATATGAAAGGCCCACAGCTGATATCATCCTCAATGGGGAAAAGCTGAGGATGGTCAGGAACAAGACAGGGATGTCCACTCTCATCATTACTGTTCAACTTAGTACTAGAAGTCATAGTCTCAGCAGTCAGACAACAAAAAGAAAATAAAAGGCATCCATATCAGCAAGGAAGAAGTCAAACATTAATTATTCACTGATGACATGATACTCTATGTAGAAAACCTGCAAAACTCCACCAAAAAGACTCCACTGCTAAACAAATTCAGCAAAGTCACAGGATGCAAAATCAATGTACAGAAATCTGTTGCATTTTTATACCAATAATGAAGCAGCAGAAAGAGAAATCAAGGAATCAATCCCATTTACAATTGCACCAAAAACTGGGGTGCCTGGCTGGCTTGTCAGAGGAGCACGTGACTCTTGATGTCAGGTTTTGAGTTTGAGCCCCATGTTGGGTATAGAGATTACTTAAAAACAAAAGCAAACAAACAAACAAAAAACAATAGTACCAAAAACCCTAAGATACCTAGTAATAAACCTAACCAAAGAGGTAAAAGATCTGTACTCTGAAAACTACAGAACATGTATGAAAGAAATTGAAGAGGACACAAAGAAATGGAATAACATTCCATGCTCATGGATTGGAATAACAAATAATGTTAAAATGTCTATACTACCCAAAGCAATCTACACACTTAATGTGTCAAAATAACAACAGCATTTTTCACAGAGCTAGAACAGTTAATCCTAAGGGGAGCCTCAGTGGCTCAGTCGGTTAAGCGTCCAGCTCTTGATTTCTGCTCAGGTTCTGATCTCAGGGCCTGGGATTGAGCCCTGTGTCAGGCTTCCCACTCAGCAAAGCAGGGAGTCTACTTGAGGATTCTCTCTCTTCCTCTCCCCCTCCACCAACTTGCACGTGAACTCTCTCTCCCTCTCTGTCTCTCAAATAAATAAATCTTCAACAATCCTAAAATTTGTGTGGAACCACAAAAGATCTTTACTAGCCAAAGCAATCTTGAAAAAGAAAAGCAAAGCTGGAGGTATCACAATTCTGAATTTCAAGCTATATTACAAAGCTGTAGTCATCAGAACAGTATGATACTGGCACAAAAACAGACACATAGATCAATGGAACATAAGAGAAAACCCAGAAATGGGCCTACAACTGTATGGTCAACTAATCCTCGACAAAGCAGGAAAGAATATCCAATGGAAAAATGACAGTCTTTTCAACAAATGCAGTTGGGAAAACTGGACAGCAATGTAGAAGAATGAAACTGGGCCACTTTCTTACACCATACACAAAAATAAATTCAAAATCGATGAGAGACCTCACTGTGAGACAGGGAACCAACAATAGGAGAACAGAGGCAGCAACCTCTTTGACCTTGGCTGTAGCAACTTCTTACTAGACACATCACTGGAGGCACTTTTGCTTTTTGCAAAAGCAAAAACGAACTATTGGGACTTCATCAAGATAAAAAGCTTCTGTCCAGCAAAGGAAACTGTCAACAAAACTAAAAGTCAACCTATGTAAAGGGAGAAGATATTTGCAAATGACATGTCTGATGAAGGGTTTGTATCAAAAATCTGTAAAGAACTTATCAAACTCAATACCCAAAAAACAAGTAATCCAATTAAGAAATGGGCACATTGTTGCAGGATTGCAGGGTTCTTGTCTCATGGAGTTGAAGAATGAATCTCATGGACACAAAAGGGTGAAGTGAGGTGTAAGTTTATTAAGTGAAGGTGAGAACAGAAAGGAAAGAAAAAGATCTTAGATTGAGAGAAGACCTGAATGGGTTGCCACTGAGGGTTTTTAGGGCTGGTCTTTTATTGAAAACTTGGCCAGAAAGCTTGTGGCCTTGAGATTCTTATGCTGTCTTGATTTGAGAAAGTACTACTGCTAACATCTTTAATTACTTACTTCTTTGAGTTCTGGTCATTTTCTGTGATTACAATGTAGCTGCCAAAGAAAAATACTCCCTAACATCCAGGAATAGGTGGTCAGGTTTATTCCCTTATCTCTTGTTCACTCTCTCTTAGTGCTTCTGCCTGCTAGGAATAGTTTCAGAGCCCAGTCAAGGGCCCCCTATTTCTCCCTGCCTGTGCATATTAACCCTTTCTTTACTTGAATAGACAGTTTTCCAAAGAGGACATCAAGATGGCTAACAGACACATGAAAAGATGCTCAACATCACTTAACGTCAGGGAAATACAAATCAAAATCACTATAAGATACCATCTCATACAGAATAGCTAAAATGAACAACACAGGAAACAACAGATGTTGGTGGGGATGCAGAGAAGGGGAAACCTTTTACACTGTTGGTGGGAATGCAAACTGGTGCAGCCACTCTGGAAAACAGTATGGAGTTTCCTCAAAAAGTTAAAAATAGAACTACCCTACAACCCAGCAACTGCACTACTAGGTATTTATCCAAAGGATACAAACATAGTGATCCCAAGGGGCACATGCACCCCAATATTTATAGCAGCAATGTCCACAATAGCCAAGATATAGAAAGACCCTAGATGTCCATCAGCAGATGATTGGATAAAGAAGCTGTGGTGTATATATATATATATATACATACATACGCACACACACAATGAAATATTAGCCATCAAAAAGAATGAAATCTTGCCATTGCAACAATGTGGATGGAACTAGAGGGTATCATGCTAAGCCAGTCAGAGACATAAGTCAGTCAGAGAAATAAGTCAGTCAGAGAAAGACACCATATGATTTCAGTCATAAGTGGAATTTAAGAATTAAAACAGATGAACATAGGGGAAGGGAAGGAAAAATAAAATAAGATGAAAACAAAGAGGGAGGCAAACCACAAGAGACTTTTAACTCTAGGAAACAAACTCAGGGTTGTGGGAGGGGAGTGGTGGGGATGGGGTAATTGGGTGATGGGCATTAAGGAGGGCACTTGATGTAATGAGCACTGGGTGTTATATGCAACTGATGAATCACTAAATTCTACTCCAGAAACTAATAATATAGTATATGTTAATTTAAATTAAAATTTTAAATTATGTTTATGTTTAACATTTAAAAAATGTTAAATTAAAAATTTAAAAAAATAAATAAGATTATTTACATTCATTTTAGTATCTATATACTTCCAGCATCATTTCTAATGACTATTGAATTTCATTTTACTGTACAGATGTGCCAGTGTCTTGGCCAATTATTTAGATTGCTTTAACTTTTTATTATTACAAACAATGCTGTGATGA